TATATATTATATATTATATATTATATATTATATATTATATATTATATATTATATATTATGTATTATGTATTATATACTATATTATCTTTTATAATATAATGTTATATATATTATTTTATTATATATTTTATATAGTGTATATATTATATATATTATGTTATATTATATATTGTTTACTATATATTATTACAATATATAATATATAATAATATATATAATATATACACTATATATAATATATAATATATATTATATATTATATCTTGCATAGTATATGTTATATATTTCATATTATGTATTGCATATTACATATTATATATATTACATATTATCTTATCTTATATATTATATATTATATTATATTATATTATATTATATTATATTATATTATATTATATTATATTATATTATATTATATTATTTATAAAATACATAATATATATCATCTATAATTATGTATATATAGATTATATATAGATTATATATAGATTATAATCTAATATAATTTTATTCTATATTCTTATATTATTAATAATTAATAATTTATAAATTTAAAAATTATAAATCCTCCAAAATCTCTATTTTTCCCTTCAGTCACACACTAACCATTCCGCTACTTTCCTACTTAATATTTTTTTTTACAAACCCTGCTTTTCCCAGGGATATTTGGAAGCTTTCCTGCGGGTGACAGATAATATTAATACATATTATTATATTATATATTAATACATATAGAATAGGACAAAGAGAGAAATGTTAATTTCTGGAATTTTCCCCGCAGAGCCCCCGCCAGGCCGTGTTTTTCTACCCTCCATCCCCGGACCCCCTGTACGGCCCCTTCGCCGTCCGCCTGGGCAAGTACAAGGCTCATTTCTTCACCCAAGGTGGGTGCAGCCTCCCGAGCGCGATTTGGGGAATTTTGGGGAATTTGGGGGAATTTTTGGGATTTTTTGGGGAATTTCTGGGAATTTTGGGGATTTTTGTGAATTTTTTGGAATTTTGGGGGAATTTTGGGGGATTTTTTGGAATTTTTGGTAATTTTGGGAATTTTTGGGGAATTTTTTGGGAATTTTGGGGAATTTGGGGAATGTGGGGAATTTTGGGAATTTTTGGGGAATTTTGGGGAATTTTTGGGAATTTTGGGGATTTGGGGAATTTGGGGAATTTTTGGGAATTTTGGGGAATTTTGGGGATTTTTTGGGGAATTTGGGGGATTTTTTTGGATTTTGGGGAATTTTGGGGAATTTTGGGGGAATTTTGGGAATTTTGGGGATTTTTTAGGGAATTTTGGGGAATTTTGGGGATTTTTGGGGGAATTTTGGGGAATTTGGGGGAATTTGGGGGATTTTTTTGGAATTTTGGGGATTTTTTAGGGAATTTTTGGGAATTTTGGGAATTTTGGGGAATTTTTGGGATATTTTGGGGAATTTGGGGGATTTTTTTGAATTTGGGGAATTTGGGGAATTTTTGGGGAATTTGGGGAATTTTGGGAATTTTTGGGGAATTTTGGGGAATTTTGGTAATTTTGGGGATTTGGGGAATTTGGGGAATTTTGGGGAATTTTGGGGATTTTTTGGGGAATTTGGGGGAATTTTGGGAATTTTGGGGGAATTTGGGGGATTTTTTGAGGAACTTGGGGGATTTTTTTGGATTTGGGGAATTTTTGGGGAATTTTTTGGGATTTTGGGGAATTTGGGGAATTTGGGGAATTTTGGGGAATTTTTTGGAATTTTGGGGATTTTTTGGGGAATTTTTGGGAATTTTGGGAGTTTGGGGGGAATTTTGGGGATTTTTTTGGGTAATTTGGGGGATTTTTTTGGGAATTTGGGGGATTTTGGGAATTTTTGGAGAATTTTTGGGAACTTTTGGGGAATTTTTGGGAATTCTGGGAATTTTGTGAATTTTGGGGAATTTGGGGAATTTGGGAAATTTTGGGGAATTTGGGGAATTTTTTTTAATTTTTGGGAATTTGGGGGATTTGGGGAACTTTCTGGGAATTTCTGGGAATTTTTGGGAATTTTGGGAGCTCAGCCCTGCTTGGCTTCTCCAGGTTCTTTCCACAGCGACACGACGCCGGACCAGGCGTGCCACGGCGTCACCCCGCTGACGCCTCACCTGCCCCCGCTGCTCTTCGACCTGGAGACCGATCCCGGCGAGAACTACGATCTTCTGGAAGATTCTGCGGTGAGCCCCGAGCTGCTGGGGGTGCTCCGGGACATCACCCTGCGCAAGGTGCTGCTGGAGCAGCGCCTCAAGTTTGGGGACAGCCAGATGGCCAAGGGTGGGGACGCCGAGCTGCAGCCTTGCTGCGCCCCTGGATGCAGCCCCAAACCTTCCTGCTGCCGCTGCTCCCCACGCTGACGCCCCAAAACTTCCCGGCTCCGTCGCACAGAGCGCCCGGCTCGGCCTCGGGGCTGCCCCAGAGCTCGGGGAAGATGTGGGGAGATGGGGTGGGGTGGGGGAGACCCCGAAGCTGCTGGTGCTGTGCTCCGAGTGGGATTTTCTTGGATGGGATCCTGACCCGTTCCAGGAGCTCCAGCAGCTTCTCCAGAGCCAGGAGAGCTCCTGGGAGCCACCATCCCGCTGGAGCAGAGGGAATATCCCAAATCCAGGGATCCCTGAGGGTTGGGATGGGGGGTCCCGGCAGCTCAGAGACAGGAGCTGGGGACAGCGGGGACAGCCCTGGGTGGCACCTCCAGCACCTGCCCAGCAGCCCGGGATCCCCGGCTGCCGCCATTCCCGTCCCTCCCGACGGCTTTTCCCGGGAATGGCACAGCCCAGGCTCTGCTGGAGGAATCCTGGCCTGGAGAAGTTTCTCCCTCTCTCCACCTGCCCGGCCCATCCTCCCCTCCCCTCCCTCCAGCCCTCCCTGGCTCCCCCTCGTCCCCCCCCAATAATATAATAAATAAATAATAAATATATATAATATATAATATATAATATATAATATATAATATATAATATATAATATAGAATATAGAATATAGAATATAGAATAAATATATAATATATAGAATATATAATATATAGAATATAGAATATAGACTATATAATATATAATATATATTATATATTATATAGTCTATATTATATATTATTAATATATATTATTATACATATTATTATGTATAAAGTATACATAAATCATAAAGTATTATTATATATATTATTTATATATATTGTAATAGATATTCATGTATATATAATTTATGTATACTTTATTTTTATCTCCTAATTGTCCCTTGATTAAACTTCTAATTCCATAAAAAACACGTAAATAATAAAGTATTATTATATATATATATTATTTATATATATTATAATAGATATTAATGTCTATATAATTTATCTATATATTTGCGAATAATATTATAATATATCATCATAACATTATATATAACGTTCGTTATAATATTTGTGAAATATATTTTTTATATTTGTATTTATTATTTAATTATATATATATTAATTATAGATTATATATGTTATTTATATATATTATAATATATATTATTTATATATATATGTAATTTATCTATATATATCCAAGTATTTTTTATATTTTTTATTTATTATTTTATTATGTATATTATTTATATATAATAGATATTATTTATATATATTATAATATATATTATTTATATATATTATTAATCTATATATTTGCGAATAATATTTTTCTGTATTATTTTATTTATTATTATATTATTATTATTATATTATTATATTATTTATTATTCCTATATTATTTTTATGTATTATTTTATTATATATATTATTTATATATGATAATATATATTATTTTTATATATTATAATAGATATTATTTATCTAGATATATATTATTTATCTATATAGTTGCCAACAATATGATAACATATCACCATAACATTATACATAACATTCACTATAACACCTGCCAAAATCCAATAACAAGCCACCCATTTATAACCATAAATTTTTAATAAAATTTTAAATAAAATTTCCATAAAATAAATATCAACAACATTCATTCCGAGGGGATTCCCGAGCTGGAATCGCATCCCTCACCAGAACACGGGGCTCTGGCCGGGTTCCCGCACCACGTAATAATCCTTGTCCTGCGGGAGCAGCTTGGCCAGCCCGAAATCTCCGATCTTCACGTGGCTGTCGCTCTCCACCAGGATGTTCCTGCTGGCCAGGTCCCGGTGCACGCAGCGCCGAGCCCCCAGGTACTCCATGCCCTGCCGGGGGTGACAGAGCCCCCAGGTACTCCATGCCCTGCTGGGGTTGGGGGGTGACAGAGCCCCCAGGTACTCCATGCCCTGCCGGGGTTGGGGGGTGACAGAGCCCCCAGGTACTCCATGCCCTGCCAGGGTTGGGGGGTGACAGAGCCCCCAGGTACTCCATGCCCTGCCGGGGGGTGCAGGATGGAGGGGACAGAGCCCCCAGGGCCGGGGAACAGCCGGGGTGAGGGTCCCTGGGGGCTCCTCCTGGCTGGGGCGCAGCCCCAGGGGGCAGTGAGGGGGGGACAGAGCAGCTGCAGGGACAGGAGACTGCAGGGGCTGGACAGTGAGCCCTGGGTGAGCCCTGGGTGAGCCCTGGGTGAGCCCTGAGTGACCCCAGGGTGACCCCTGGGTGACCTCTGGCATTGGTCTGGCCAGGACAGGGACAGGAGCCTGCAGGGGATGGATAGTGACCCCTGGGTGACCTCTGGGTGATCCCTGGGTGACCTCTGTGTGACCCCTGAGTGACCTCTGGGTGACCTCTGGGTGACCATCTCTGGGGGCTCATTCCTGCTGGACAGTGACCCCTGGGTGACCCCTGGGTGACCCCTGGATGACCCCTGGGTGCCCCATGGCATTGCTCCAGCCAGGACAGGGTCAGGATCCAGCAGCATTCCCAGGCCTGGAGCAGGTCCTGGCTGGACAATGACCCTTGGGTGACCCCTGGGTGACCCCTGGGTGACCCCTGGCATTGCTCCGGCCGGGATTCAGTTGCTGCCAGGGACAGCATTCCCGGGCCTGGAGCAGATCCCGGCTGGACAATGACCCTCGGCTGACCCATGGCATGGTTCCAGCCCCATCCCGGGCCAGCAGCATCCCCGTTCCCAGCGCTCCCGGCCCGATCCCACCTTGCAGATCTGCCAGGCGTAGAGGAGCAGCGTGCTGTGCTCCAGCCGGGGCTGGTTCTGCTGCAGGAAATCCCGCAGGCAGCCCTTGGGCAGGAATTCCATCACCAGCCTCAGCCCGCGCGTTCCTGCGGCCAAATCCAGCCCCGGCCATCCATGGAGGATCCCAGGCTCATTCCCAGCCCCATTCCCTGCCCCATTCCCTGCCCCATTCCCAGCCCCACTCCCAGC